ATATGACGGAATGTTGCTATTATATTAAATAAATAAGTGTGTGGACTTGAGAACACATACTTTCTGAGAACAGTTTTCCGATTTTCTGTGCCGTCTCGGTCAGTCTCAGTATAGGCAGTGCACGTGTGGCGTGCGTGGGCATGGTCAGTGGTCACTTGTGTGCGCAGCACAGTGCGGAGAGACCAGAACGAAGATGGATGGCGAGGAGATCGACACTGATCTGGTAGCCAAAAAAAACTCTACCTCTGTAATATGGCGATATTTTGGATTTAAGATTACTGACACTGAGCAGAGAGAAGTACTGTGCAAGATTTGCAAAATTAAAGTTGATGTCCCTGTTTGTTTGGACAAAATGTTTAAAATATCTTATTTTTGTGAAAATGTGTATGTTTTATTTAATTTAGCTATACTTTTGAGAAAATAAGTTTACATTAATGCAAATGTCATTTCATTTTGTAAAAATAATTTATTGTGAAAAAAATTTTAGTTTTACAAATACACATTTTAGCATTATCACTAATCTGTGTGTGCATTTTCCTTAAAAACCCATCAAGTTGACTCATGATACCATTTATTATAATCGCAATCGCATATCGCAATATTGACCTCAATAACCGCAATATGAAAATTTTCCCAAATCGTGCAGCCCTACTCAGGAGTTTGTCTCCCACCATCATTACTCACACTAAGACCTGTTGTACTTACGATACATCACCGACTTGTTAAACACAGCCCATTTCTCAAACTTTACCAAACCAGCACTCGCTTTTTGGCATTCGACAGATGAACTACTGACCAAGACCATGAATTTTACAAGAGTAGCCTGCTTTTTTTTTTTTTTTAATGTGTTGATCTTTTCATTTATATAACTTAAAAAAATGTGTTTATTTATTTATTTATTTTTTAGATTTTGACAATAATAATTCAACAACTTGATATTTATGCATTTGAGCTGAAATGGCAAAAAAAATAACAGCCAAATACACTGAATTCAGAATATAATACAAATAAAAACATA